TGCACTCCAGCCTGGTTGAGAGTCTGAGAATATGTCTCAAAAACAAACAAACAAACAAACAAACAAACAAACAAACAAAACCAACTACTTAGTATTATTTTTAAAAAAATAGCTGGACTTTAGGGACCCTTCTGAAGGGTACAGGTGTCTGTGGAGCCACTTTGAGAGCTGCTGACCTAGATAAAAGTTTCATTTAGAAGACATGGAAATTAAGATGTCTCATGGATCTGCTACTGATGATCGATTAGAGAGGGGCTGATACTTTCCTACAAGGGTATTAGATACGGCTAGGGTGGATGCTAAAACTATATTATGGAAACATATGAGGATGATTTCGAGTGGAGGTTGTATGTTACCTCCCTCCCACTGATGGCACAAAAACTAATCCCCACAACCCTACTGAAACTACCCTTGCCTGGAACAGCAATGATCTTGTTAAATTCAATAAACATTTTTTAAGAAGTACTTACTGAGATTTGTTTGTTAGCAGCCCTTGACATGGCTGATCACTCCCTTAATTTTGACTCAATTGTATGATCCTCCCATGATCTCAGACTCAGTGAAAGCACCCTCTCTCTCCAGATGCCCAACCAGAAGTCAGAAACTTCCCACACTCTGATCTCTTCATCACCAAGTGCTCTCAATCATCTTTTCTTATAAATATCTTGGTATTCCATCCACTTTTTTTTTCTGCCTGATATTTTGCCCTGAATATGCATCTTACCTCTCTTGCATTATCACTACTATCTTCTAACTATTTCATCTTATTCCTTATTTTTATATGTTTTCTTTTTCCAGATTTTATTTTAGTTTCCAGGTGTGCATGTGCAAGTTTGTTACATGGGTAAATTTTGTGTTATGGGGGTTTGGTGTAGACATAATTTTGTCACCCAAGTAATCAGCATAATACCAATAGACAGTTTTTCAGTCATTAGTTCACTTAGAATAATGAACCCCAGCTCTGTCTATGTTGTTGCAAAGGCCGTGGTCTCATTTTTATGGCTGTGTAGCATTCCATGTTTACATGTACCACATTTTCTTTATCCATTCCACCACTGATGAGTATCTAGGTTGATTTCACATCTTTGCTATCATGAATAGTGCTGCGATGAACATACACATGAATGTTTTTTACTGGTAGAATGATTTCTATTCCTTTGGATATATACCCATTAATGGGATGGCTGAGTTGAATGGTATTTTAAGTTCTTTGAGAAATCTCCAGACTGCTTTCCAGAATGGCTGAACTAATTTACATTCCCACCTTTTCTCCACAACCTCACCAGCATGTTACTTTTTGACTTTTTAATAATAGTCATTCTGAATGGAATGGAAAATATTTGCACACTATGCATCTGACAAAGTTCTCATTTCCAGAATCTACAAGGAACTCAACTCCACAAGCAAAAAATAAACAACCCCATTTAAAAATGGGCAAAGGACAGGAAAATACACTTCTCAAAAGAAGACATATATGTGGCCAACAAGCATATGAACCGATGCTCAATATCACTAATCATCGGGGAAATGCAAATCAAAACCACAATGAGATACCATCTCACACCAGCCAGAATGGCTTTTATTAAAAAGCCAACTATTTCTTTCCCTGGTTCTTCTCATCAGTCCTCTGTATCTGAGCAGTTCTTTTGAATTACAGGTTCCAAGTGGGCACTTTTCACAGCTCTTAGGTTAAAGCCCCAATTCTTTCAAGTATTTTACAAAAGCCTCTGAAGCAGCCCCATGCTCGCATCTACAGCTGGGCTTTGTCATTGATACTTCTTTGTTTCATAAGATTCTCTGCCCTGCTCCCTCACTTCCATGACAGTATATCAAAACTGTTTATTCTTCTATGCATTCCTTCTACTCTTTCTCTTTTTATTCAAATATTAACTTAGGTGTCACCTCCTTTGGAATAATTTCCCCTGAGTCCTCCCACTCTGAGTTAGATTATCCTGCTATATGATTCCTCGATGATGTGTCCTTTCCAACCAAAATATTATTTGCCACTCTTCATTTGTAATTACTTACCTAATATCATTTTCCCCTGTATACTTTTAGTATTGTGTGCACAGAAACTTCATCTGATTTTCTCTTTCTACAATGGAAAAATAAACAACCCCATTAAAAAATGGGCAAAGAACATGAAAGACACTTCTTGAAATTATTCTACCCAATATTGAGAACAATGTTGGACCTATAGTGAGAAGATTATAAGTCATACACATTTGTTAGATGCAGGATTAAATGAATATTGGTTTTTTTCTCTCTCTTTCCTGCAGTTAGTTGTATTTATGGTTTTCTGACTCACCTTTATGAAGTTGAGAATCATGCTTTGAATTAATTATTTTATTGTCCTGTTAGTATAATATAGTTACTATCCTGTATGACTGCTGTGCCAAAGTGGTTCAAAGACTGGCATTCGCATGACATTTACCTAAAATCAGGTGAAACCAGGCCTATATTTGAAAATTGGCCTCATTCTTTTGTGACCAAGAAGGTCATCCAGGAAGATTGGTTAAAATATGCATGCATGAGTTCTATCCACTGAAGATTCTGAATTGATTGTTGAGATTGTAAGCAGCTCCACAGATTACTGACATGCCTTCCAAAGTTTAGGAACTACTGCCTTACTGCAAGAATACACTGGTTTATTTACAAATAGTAGTTAAAGAGTTACCTTGTAAAATGTACTCTAATTTAGTAGCAGAGCACTCCCTTGTGCAAAGAAATGTATAGTTTTCTGTACATATATGTTTGGAAGGATGTCATAGCTGAACATTAAACTCTAGCAGGTGTTACAAGTTCAAGTATCTATTTTTGTTTCTGTACAGTTCAATGTTAACACGTGTACTCATTAAACACATCTTAATTCTCTAGAACTTATTGTAGTATGTTTAATGGATACATTTAATATCAATTTTTATGTAGTATTTCTTTAAATAACATTAGTAAATATTTAAATTTGCAAAACAAAATGTGATAATACTATTTTACCATGCAATTTTTGCAGCTGTTATGTGTAGAAGCTGTTACGTGTAGAATTTGACATGGTAAAATTCTAAAATAACTTACAGTGAAGCAAGTTTATGGGGCCATGTGTTTTTAAAACAAAATATACCAAGTATGTTTGTGAATTCACATTTTTATTGTTAATTGATATGCAATAATTTTGCATATTTATGGGGTATAATGTAATTTTTGGAACATGTATATATGTACTGATGAAATTAGAGTAATTAGCATATCCATTATGTTGAACATTTATCATTTATTTGTGATGAGAACAAAATCTTCTCTTCTAGCTATTTTGAGGTAAATAAAACCTTATTGTTAACTGTAGTAATCCTTCTAAGCAATAGGACACCAGCATTTATTCTTCCTTTCTAATTGTAACTTTGTACCCACCGACCGTCCCCTCTCTATCCCTCTCTTTCCTCTACCCTCCTGCTTATTTTTATTTATATTTATTCTTGTTTTCAAAAAAGTTAAGTAGCAGGTATGTATACATGCATACAGACAACACGTGCACCCGTGCACACACATACACACACTCAAGAAAAAGAAAGGAGAAAGAGACAGTTTCTGATTTTTTATAAATATTTTGCTTTATTGTTGTTTGTCATACTGTATTGATGAAGGTAGTTTTTCAGAGAAAATAGAAATAGAGAGATAATAACATAGAGATGAGATTTTTAAGAGATAAGAAGAGAGTAGAAAGAGAAAAGAAAATTGCTTCATTTGATCCAAGCTGCAGTTGAATTGGATGATCTTTTTTTCTTTTCACACTCTTTTATATAGTGGATCTTTTGTGTCAGTTCTTTAATGTATTTCATTACTTGAAGATTGTGTAAAGGAATACATTCAATAATTTGTCTCTTATTTTAAAATGCATCACAGTTACATGACTTATTAGAAATTTATCCATTAATGTGATATATTTTTAACTTAATTATCAGGTACTTCTCTAGTAGAATGCTTACTTTATAAATATATGCAGGTATATTTACTTTTTTTTTTTTTTTTCCTTTTTGTGGAGAACGAGGTCTCGCTATATTATCCAGGCAGGTCTCGAACTCCTGGGCTCAAGCTATCCTCCCACCTCTGCCTCCCTGAGAGCTGGGATTACAGGTGTGAGCCACCGCGCCTGGCATATTTACTTTTTAATTTAATGCTATTAACTAGAAAACAATACAAAAATTGTTAGCTTTATATTTTAAAATAATTGTGGTTCAGACTATTTAAAATCTATTTTATTAAGGAAAGTTATTTCATTGTTATATATACAACAACTTGTATTTTCAGATTATTCACCAGAGCATTACTTGTTACTGACGATGAAAATGAAGTGACCAAAGTTTCTAGTAATAGAGAATAGTTACATAAATTAGGTGCGTGATAAAACACAGTGTTCATTAAAGGCAAACTAGAATAATAATCACTGACTTACAAGGCCCTCTAAGGCATTATCACAAAACAATTGTTAATGTAAAATACAATACAAACAAAGCTATATGTGTACATGTGTAAATGCACAGAAAGTGTTATGGAAAAACAGTATTTCAAGACATTAATAGTGACAACCTGCAAGGGAGTAAAACTGGGGTATAAAGGGACACTATTTCACCCTATGTACTTTTATACATTTAAGTTATTTATATTAACTTTTAGTCATGTGTTTCTTTCATAACTTGAAAAATGCCTTAAAGAATTTGAGAAATGTTTAACAAAAATAACAGAGGATATGGGGTTCCTTTGAAAGAGGAATTTCAATAGTTGCATCATTGAATACACTTATACATGGTCAAGAAAATTATGCATTCTTGGCCATATCAAACTATCTCATGTCATTTATAATATACAAACCTACTATGTAACCACAAAAATTAAAATTAAACAAATAAGAAGAAAATCATGCATTCTAATGAGTGTTTTCTGATTCTTTGTCCTACTCTATTTTTTATCCCTAATATTCTTTTTTTTTTTTTCCATTTTAATTGAAGGTCTCATTCGTTTGCAAGAGCTCATCAAAGCTCCATCAAGGTACAATCTTCGACTCAAAATTCGTCAGCTACCTGCTGATACAAAGGATGCAAAACCCTTACTAAAAGAAATGAAAAGAGGCAAGGAGTTTCACGTAATCTTTGATTGTAGCCATGAAATGGCAGCAGGCATTTTAAAACAGGTAACCTTTAAATTATTTCAATTCTTGCTTTCTTCATAAACTTGTACTTACAATATGATCTTCTTTGAAATCAAAATGTTATTGTTATACAATCAATTATATAACAACCTTGATGTAATTTTGTGATAGAAAGTCTGACAATTGCTTTTAATTAATTGTCTTAAAAGAAAAGTAATGTAAACAGTGATGATCTTCAAAACAGGTTGTTTGAAGTTTGGAAGTTATTTTCAAATGACTGCAATGCTGTTGGTTAATGAGATAGTTGATTAACAAGATAGTTGTTTCTTTCTGTTTCGAAATGAGGGAAGGAACTAAGAGTCAACTATTGAGCAGCTCTCTCATTACAATCAACCAGTAGGAAAAAGATGTAATAGATTTACCATTTACCTGGTATCTACTATAAGAGACTTTACATATTTGATCTTATTTCATCATCACTACCAAAAAAAAAAAAAAAGTTGGGACTGTCTCTAATTTACAGACAAACTGAGTCCCAAAATGAATAAGTAACTTGACCAATGTCAAGTAACAAGAATATAGCAGAGGGATTGATATCCAACCTAATGATGTTAACACGTATTCATTCCAGAATAAAGCATTGCCTGACAAAAACCAACCAACCAACCAAACAAACAAAATCTTCTAAATCAATCAGACAAAACAATTTGTAGCTGTGAAATCTTTTAGTATTATGTCAGTATTATTCAGACCTAACAGCAAACTGGAAAACAGAAATCATTATCAGTCCATATCTTACAGATGAAGGAACTGAAGTTGGGAGTTAAATGACCAGAACAAGACCATACACTTACTATGTAGTAGAGCTTGGATTTGAACACAAATTTTTGGATTTTGTTTCTTAAACTCTTTTATGCACACTGAGCTGACACCTTGGTAGCTTGGAACTAGTCAGCTGTTTAGAAATCTCTCATGTATAGGATAAAATATTTCTACTGGAGAGCTACGCAGATTCAGATGTCAAATTATATCCCATTAAATATAACTGCCAATAGTAAATGCCTGTTATAACATGGTTAATTTATTAAGCAGATGTTTATCCCATATTCCAATATAAATGCTGATTTTCACAGTAAAATATTTAATTAGATTTGAAAAATTGCTATAGTTTTATCTTTGGATAATAAAACATGTGAGGGTTTTGGGTTTTTTTTTTTTTTTTTTTTTTTTAAGATTGAATATTACTATGTACTAAACCACTGAACTCTAGAGTCAAGATTTAGTTT